TGACCTGTTGCCAAATGAGTAAAAATATTTGTACTGCGGGCAATTCATCATCTGAGAGTTTTACATTTAAACTGGGTCCCATAGAATAAGAGGAGAAACAAACTCAAGTTCATTTCTCTCTCTTTTAAGAAAAAGTCAACTGTATGAAAAAGTATTACTGAAACCAGTTGAAATGCAGAAATAAGCATAGCATAGCTCTTTGAAAAATCGAGAGTTGTTTTGAAACATCAAAATAATATTACTACTGAAATCAAGGTAAACTTAATCCATTATATCTGAGGGCTTTGGGACAGCACAGATAAAAGACTAAGAGAATCATTCAACATGCTGTTCATTGTTTTTAAAAGGCAAACTTCACAAATATGAGGTCCACATGTCTGTAGGCATGTTTTCTGTAGATGAGTATAACTTGAGACATATATATTTTAAATCATATATAGTTCTCTTTCATGTGTATGTTTGTGTGTGAAAACTGCCAAGCTGTATCTATGCAAAATATATTTCTACATCAGTTATGTCTGCAGAGCTGTGGGAAGATGAAGCCATGCAAGGAACTCGGCAGCCTAGCACATGAACATGAGGCACCTGGCTTCTTGCCATGATACATGACATTCAATTATTTTAGTACTTTTTCACAAGGGTTTCTCTCCAGCAGCTCCTCCTTCTCTCTCCAGACCATTGCTTTTCTACATTTGGCATAGTTCTCCTGATTTTGCACACATTTACCCCTTTAACTTTACTTATAAGCCTCAAAAATCTCCTTACAAAAATAAAATGCTAAAACTAAGTCCACCACTAATCTGCAAATATGGCACTTATTTTTAAAAGGAGAAAGAAATGAACTAGAGTAGTCCATAGTTCTATTGCTTTGATGTAAGTAGAATTTTTCTTTTTGGTCTTTTTGAGACAGAGTGTCTTTGTAGTTCCTGCTGGCCTGGACTTGCTATGGAGACTGGGATGGCCTCAAACTCACAGAGATTTCACTGCTACTGTCTCCAAGTGCTAGTGCTGAGATTAAAGGCCTAAGCCACCATGTCCAGCAGTAGAAATATTTTTGATTTCCCAGAATACATTTGCATAGGGAAGGGGAGCACTAAAAGCAGCATTTTCTGTGAGATTTCTTTCGTTAATAAAAAATGAGTCAAGCTTCCCTAAACTGTAATCCTTTACCTGAACTTTCTAATTAAGTACTATCTGGGAACGTGGGTCAAATAATCATTTCAAGGGACACTGCAAATAGTTTTAGCTCATTTGCTTATTTTTATGCTTTTAAGGGAACTAAATAAAGAAAACTTAAAAAAAAATACCCCAAATCCCTTTACCCCCATGGGAGATTGCCACCTAACAACCGCAGCGAAGACGAGCACTGCAGGACTAATATCAGATGTAATTTCAGAAGGGAGGACCAGCCATCTTTACAAAATAGTCTTTCCATGCTTTTAGCAACCGATGGTGCCAGAGGAATGATCAAGTTTACTCCAACACATCTTAATTAGTGGAGGAGAAAACAGCCAAGACTTGAACCCAAAATAGTCTTGCTAGCCTCTTCCCTTTGCTTACTTGACTCTTCACATTCCTCCCGCAGCCCTCTGCAGGCATTGGGGCTTCCATCAAAGGATACAAAACTTCCAGAGAGCTGAAAGTGCTGGAATCCTGAGATGTCCCAAATATTTTCAGGCTTAAAAAGAAAAATAATGATCCTCCACCTCTGTTGCTCTCCAACACTCAAAAATTCAAACGGAAAGCAAGCAAATCAGAAAAGGAGGTACAGCAACCTCTTTCATATTGACTTCTTAGGTAAGGTCAAAGAAGAAGGTGAATCCTAGGTTTGGGTTCCCAGTTTTGAGTACTAAGAGATGAACGGCACTCTGAAAGGTAAAATAGCTAGAAACCTGGAGATGTCAGACTGAACCTGCAGCCATAAAATGCCCCTGGAATCCTGGCTTAATGAACTGGTTTTTCTCTGCTTATCACCCTTCTGACCTTAAGTGAGAGGCAAGGAGAAGAAAGTGTGTTGGAATCAGGGAGGGCTAGGATGCTGTAAAAACACAAGAAGCCAGTTTTAAAAACCTGTTGAGTTAGGACCGTGATGGATGTGTGTAGAATAGCTGAACACATTTGTCAAAGATTTACAGTCTGTTTCCAAGGTTATCCCCCAAATCTCAGGCAGACAAAGCACAGGTGAAATGACCTGCAATTTGATTTCCTCTCCCTTCTTGTGACTCCTAGAAATCACTCTTATTATAGTTTTAATTAGTTTTATTTTAAAATTTAAATTTAATATGAATGCTCCAATGGCTAGAGCTGTATCATTGCTATAAAATCTATCTCAACCTCTCAAAATCCATTTAAACAGCTCTTGGCAACCAAAGGCCCAGCTTCTTGCCAAAACAGGCAGATTATGCATTCGTTATGGGAGTTTGCCATTAGCTGTTCCTTCTGTTACGGGCACATGTGGTTACATGTCACAAAACACAAGAGATTCCGTGTAATAGATTTGCATTTCCAGGAGACTTCAGGGACTTCAGGAATCTGAAGTGGGTGGGTGACACCTTGTACCCCACCTCTTCAACCACTGCTGTTAAAATTGGGTTTGTGTAATGGGCTGGAAACCCGCTTCCTAGGCTACACTGCACTTTCCTCAAGTTGAACCTCTACTGGTACACAAAGCACTCAGGAGTTCCCATCATATGTCTTTGATTTAAAAAACACTGAATACTTTTTCAGGGAATTGAGGACTCTTAAAATGTATATATTTATAAACAGATCAACAGAACTCTATAGCTTAACTAAGTTTATAACTAGAGAGTCTTTGCATATTTCTTCATCAATAATAGGAGTGCTTGCTGCTGTGAAAGACCTACTGGGATTTTTTTTCTTTTTTCTTTTTCCTTTGTCTTTCCTGTGTTTAATAGGGTAAGGCAGATTTTCAGAATACCCGGAGGTAAAATAGATAAAATGGGCCATGTAAGACTGATGAAAATCACCAAGGCACCCAGCAGTGAGGGGCTAACCTGCAGCCTAGTTCCCACAAGGAACCAGCTAGGAAACTCTAAAAAGGACCTTTGGCTCCTACCCTGAGCCAAGTCCCTGTGTGCTTCCAGCTATCTTTTGCTTGTCCTGACCCTGCTCCCCCCTGTGGAAGAGGGAGAAAGCTTGGCCTCACACAGCAGAAAATACCTAGCTTGGAGCTCTGCTTCCAAAACTCAGGTCCCATTCTGCCTCAGCGCCATCCCTGGACTGATTTTCTCTGACCAGGCTCCCTGTGATATTTGACTGTATGCTGTTGGTGCTAGTTGTGCTGCTTCTCTTCCAGAGAGCCGCAGAGAATAATTAATAATATCGCAGAACTTATTTTGAACCTAGAAACAGCGTCAACTCGCGGCCAGGCTGCGTGCGCACTCAAGGTCACTTGAGTCCCTTCTTGGAAAACTATCTCTGGTCAAGCTGATGCCCCGCGAAGGTTGATGTCCCAAGACCTTTGCGCTCCAGCCCCGCCCGGCTGGAGCTGCGTTGCGGTGGTCAGTCCTGCCTTTAGAGCAATGCAAGCAGCAACTCAACTTGTACACAGCGCTTTTGGCCATTCCTCCCAGGCTGCGGCCAAGGGAATCTCACCTGTGAGGTGTGCCTCGGATACGAACCCTGAATTGCATGGAAATTACCAAACCCAGGCCATAAGCTCTCCGGTGTTAGACTTGGCCAACCCCAGTGTCTAAGGCCCTGGCGTGATTGCCAAGCTGACCTGGAGAAAAGCGACATTGGATATGAATGCCTGTGGTGAGAAATAGTGTGTTAGGGCCCGTGAGCACAATTTGTAGGGAAGCGTCTCCAGATTTGCCAGTTTAGGGGCTCTATTGCAAATGGCTGCTTTTCCTGCCCAAGGCAAAGAACACTTTCCACTTAAATGCTTCGGGCTACTCAGAAGTTGGAGCAGGGCACAAAGCCAAAAAGCTTGGTTTTCAGCTCCTAAGTGCTGTCCTAACCTCCCTCTCATCCCTTCTGACTGGGCCAAAGGTCTTAGCCCAGCGAGTAGGTCCCACTCAACTCACGCGAACCACTCGCTCCCCTCACGCGCTTTTCAGAGGCACCGCCACGACTCTTGAAAACAGCACATAGTAATTCTTTTGTTAAAGTACGCCGAAGGCCTTCCTCCTCAAAAACTCCTTTGTGTGATGAACCTCCCTCTGGTCTCCACTCGGGGCTTTTTGGAGACACTTGTCTTAAAATAATTGTGATCTAATGATAAACTCGTGGACCAAGGGCAGAGGTGGGAAATTCGGTTGGTATTGGTGTGAGTTGTTTCAATGCCTCTAGTTCAACCTCCCTTTCTCACTCTACGCCACCCTTTCCACACCCACGGTGCTGCACAGCAAATGCCAGGGCCTCGGCCTTGGCAAGTCCAGCGGCTGCCAGGATTCCAGCATTCTCTGCCAGAGGTAACCGGGACTCCTTTACCACCAGCAGTCCAGTTAACAGCTACCGCTGTATCCGGCTTCTTGGGTTCAGATTAATGTGGATCTTCCACGTAAACGATTTACGGATGAAATAAAAGCCCTTCAGAGCAATACTTCCTTTCAAGTTCTTAAGATGCCTCTAAATCTTCTGGGAGTGAGCGGCCGGCGGGGCCGGGTGGAGGCGGTGTGGGGCGGGCAGCCCGATGGGGCGCAGGGAGTGGAGGGTTAACAGCTCTGCGATCTCACCCGGCTCCTCCGCAGTGCCAGTCCACTGATGAGGCGACAACGTTTCTGAGTGTCGGGGCCTCCTCTCTTCTGGCATTTGTCTGAAATGGAACTGGCTGTCTAATCTAGGCCGGAGCGCTCCCAGGCCAGGGTGAGTGGGGAAGATGGGGGTGGGGTGGGGGCGGAGGGGGCCCCGGGGTGGAGTTAGTCGCCTGCCTATTTTCATATTCATTAGGACTGAGAGGTTGACAGGGGAGCCCAGCTGAGTTTCAAGATATAAAAGCAACGTCGGCTGCCCACTTCGCAGCCGGGACATATTAAAGGACTAGGAGCCTGGCAGATCCGGGCGTCGCACACTCTCTTCCCCTTCCCTCCTCTCCTGCCCTCCCCCTCTCCCGCCCACTGCTCCCTCCTCCCCCAGAGCCCTCCTGCCAGTAGCCCCTGCACTTCCAGACAGCCTTCCAGGATTATGGAGTTTCTGAGCGAGAAGTTTGCCCTTAAGAGCCCGCCAAGTAAAAACAGTGACTTTTACATGGGCACAGGAGGCGCGTTGGAGCACGTTATGGAGACGCTGGACAATGAGTCCTTTTACAGCAAAGCGTCCTCAGGCAAATGCGTGCAGGCCTTCGGGCCGCTGCCGCGAGCCGAGCATCACGTGCGTCTAGAGAGGACCTCGCCCTGTCAGGACAACAGTGGTAAGTTTCATCCCCAGCCCCAGCCCTATACTCACCTCCATCTCCACCTCCATCCCGATCCCAACCCCTGCCCCAGCCCCAGGCCCTAGCTTCGGGGACCCTAAAGCAAAATGAGGTCAGGTGTGGAGAGTCAGGGCGGGTCCGGAGTGAGAAAGTAAGAAAAGAGAGATTGGGCCAGATAGGGGCCGTGGCGAGGTTGCAGGTCAGTTCGTACTTTCAGATGCCTTGGTACTCTTACAGCCGACTTAGGTCAGGAGCTCCAGAAGGACCCGGAACAGGGTTGTGGGAGCAAGATTCTGTTTCGCCGTCGGGTAGTGTCCACTCTTGGACAGAGAGTCTCTGACCAGGACCACAGCGCTCAACAACAGCACGCTAAATAGACCGTAACTGGGTCGGGATAGCGCGCCTCGGCTATGAGCCGCTGAGAGGACTTGAAATCCTCCACCAGACGTCGCGGTGGTCAGGAAAAGAGAAATCTTAGCGTTTCTTTAAGTGGGAAAAAAAAAAGCGGAAAACTTCTCTTTTCCCAAGGCGTGGCGATATTTTTCATTTGAAGATGGTGTGTTTGTGTCTGTAGATACTAGCTTGTGTAAATTTGTGATTTCTGCTTTATTTTTTCCGTCTGCAGTCAGCAAATGTAAATTTTTGTTAAATACCAGAGCATCGCTGATTAAATCACTCACTTTGGGACTGTGTGTTGTCTTGTTTTCTTACTCCACATAAAAAGTCCCCTAAAAAGCCTTTTTTCTGGACAATCTCAGGCTCTGAATGCGGAGTATCTCCAAGTCAAGATGTTATCAAAACAAACCATCTATCTTTTCTATCTTGTAACCCAACACAAACCTATTATTTCTCATCGCGACAGCCAGAGCTGGTTTACAATTCCAAGAGGACTTTTCCTTATCATTGTATATATCCCACAGTTAAGCTGAAAGGAGAGGGTTGCTTTAAAATAACAAACGAATTAAGTGTAGAATATTTACTACAAACCTCAGCTCTCTATTTTCATGGAAGTTCAAAAATCTGGCAAGACAGTTTCTTATGAACTCAGTTGCTAAAACTGTGAACAGGTTTGAACGAATCTTGTATTTTATTCACTTTATTCAGCGCTGCAGGTTACTTTTTACTTGCGTGGTTAAAACAAATCCAAGAATGCAAATAATAGAAAAACAAAAACAAACGTTAGCCAGGTTCAATCATTTACTTAGAAAAACTAGAACAATTAATTTTTACGTACAATAAAATTTTGGCTTCCTGGCTGCGTTTGGGCGGTCGTATCTGTGTTTTCAGAATCCCCAGATGCATGCTTGGAGTTGTTTGAATTGACAGTTGTTTCTTTAATAGTACTGCAGTGTACCACGTTAGACTACTAGGATTAACTGAGTAGTACTTTTAATTGTCGGGAATCCAAAATGAGGAGCATATCAGATTCGGGGCACTTCATTAACTTTTAAACGAATATCTCACTACTTAGGTGAATTTAACGAGATAGTACTGAGTAAGATGAACATGAATGGTTGCAGGCTACATTTGAGAAATCGCCTTTCTCCTAACTTGCTCACAGCATCTTAGCGGCTACCCCTCCCCCATCTCTAATTGCCGCAGTTCCCGGTTTAACTCCCTCTGCCAGGACAAAACCTTATTGTTCATCCTTTAATTTTACATCGCATCTTCTTTCCCATGAAAGCGAATAGCGGTTTAAGTTATACAGGCATTGAAGTTCAATACATTTGTAGAACAGCTAAAATAGTTCTTAAAACACGTTAACGGGAATCCCTTTTTAAATTATCAAATGAAAGAACGTATTATCATTCTTTGGAAATTGCTGTTCTTGCTGGAACTTTTTTTTTTTTAACAAAACAAAATTGCCCCCTGTTTATCTCTGTCCATTCGTTGTATTTGTGTGTGGCCTTAGAGGTTACAATTTGTTTCGTGTCATATTGTAAACATGCAATCCAATGTGGAGAAAATTGCTGAAATTAAAACACCTCTTAACAGAATGCAAGATGTCATTCTTTGAAATGTTTTAATAGATATTTTAATTTTATTGTGATCCTAGAGAAACAATAAAGCTTTCTCTTATTTCATGAGTTAAACAGACATATGAAATATTTGAGTTTCGAGAGGAGGTTTTAAGGTAAAGATGTTCATTTACATCTTAAGCCCTTTCTATTAAAAACACTCCCAGAAACTGTTAAGAATTTTATAAAACATTCAGACCACTTCTGAAAGAAAATTAAATTTAGACTGGATTACTCACTGAGTTCAAATATTTGAAATGCAATGGAAATTGTGTCCCATTTAAATTCTGTGCTCAGTATCTTTTTGTAGAGTGTGTGAACTAACTTTTGAATACTTGTAAATAGATGCAGTTTAAACTTGAAATGACTTTTTACCATTGAACCACAGAAATACTTTAATTTTGTATCTTAAAAAATGAATATTCTACATTAAGTTTGGTACATTTTTCAGATGTCATAGTCACTTAGATATTTAAGTCTGAAGCATCTTTTTCACTTGACTATTTTAATTCAATTATAAATTAAATGCATAAATAGTACATTATCCATGTAAAAAGATCTGTGGACTTTGGCAAGTCATAAGCCCTTGTACACATTTAAAACTCTTTTTAAGCCTATTCCACAGTGAGTTAATAATTGTGCATTGCCCATCATGTGATGAAAGAATTAATACTAGCAAAATATATCACTAGTAGACCTATTTCCTGATGCTCTAAATTAGTTCAAGTTAATTCTTTCATCGAAATGTTTTTCACCATCCTGAGAACTGCTGTTTTCCCCTCTGAGTATAGTAAACTATGGGATCACCAAAGTGGAAGGACAGCCACTTCACCCAGAGCTAAATAGAGCGATGGACAGCTGCAACAACCTCAGGATGTCTCCTGTGAAAGGGATGCCAGAGAAAGGCGAACTGGATGAACTTGGGGACAAATGTGACAGCAATGTATCTAGCAGCAAAAAGAGGAGGCACCGAACCACATTCACCAGCTTGCAGCTGGAGGAGCTGGAGAAGGTCTTTCAAAAAACTCATTACCCTGATGTATACGTCAGAGAACAGCTTGCACTGAGAACAGAGCTCACAGAGGCCAGGGTCCAGGTAGGCACCAAAAGAAAACTTCACAGGGTGGGAGGTATTAAGAGGGATAACATTAGAATGGTTGAATAACTACATTTTTTTTTCACAATGGAAGAAGCATTCTCAATTAAAGACATATAACAATTCAATATGCAAGCAAATTGGCCCATTAAAGTTTATTTTTATTTGCAAATGTTTTGAACACTCACACTAAGCCTAGGAACAAGAGTTATTTCAGAGTCTAAAAATTAACTAATTAAAATTCAGAATAATATGCTGGGAATGATGGTACATGTCTTTAATACCAGCACTAAAGTGGCAGATGCAGGCAGATCTCTCAGACTTCAGGCCAGCCTGATCTACATAGCAAGTTTGTGGTCTGCTGGGGCTACAGGGAGACCTTCTCTCAAAACAAACAAATAAACAAAACCCAGAACATAATAGCACAACTCTGATTTTAAACAACTAATTTATTTTAAAAAGTGAAAAAAAATTCAAAGCTATCCTTCGGGTAATAAATATATTCGATTTCATTTCTCTGATTTACCTCCAGCTATGAGATTTTTGAAAAAAATTATATAGAATTTGCAAATTATTTGCATGATAGCCCATTAATCTGTGGTTTTACTTAGACAAGAATTATTATGCAAAAAGTGAAATCATAACACAAATTTCCAATATTTACATATGTCACAAAATATTTTTGCTAATAGAATTAAAGAAAAATAAAATGGCTCATTTACAGTTTTCTAGCCCCAGTCATTTTCAATACATGGTATTGTGTATTAGTTTTAAAATCTAGGTAATTAAGCTTTTTTTTTTCAGAGTAAACAATGATAATGCACTTAAAGTAATTTTTGTATGTACTTGATTATAAATTGTATTCAAATTATCAAATCAGGTATTTCAATGTGTCTAAGAAATTGAAACTGAAAATTTATAATAACCAAAATTCTACCTGTCTCTTAGCAGTATTTTATTCTTGCTAGATTTTTACGTTTTAAAACCATATTAGTTCTTAAGTAATAAGTACAAGCTTAAAACCCAACAAGAATTCGAGAAAATGACCTTTTCGCTTTGTGTATACTTTCATTCCTCTAAGTAGAAAATTATCAAATTCTAATTCCTATAAGCTATCATGATGGAAAAATGAATAAAGACTGAAAACTTTTGTTCTGAATTAAATAAGTTTTGCTTGTAAGGCCCATACTTCATTGCAGACCTCATGCAGTGGTTCCGGGATAACAGGCAGCAGATTTTGCTTAGGTATGTGGAAGCAAATGGTTATTTTATCTTAGTTCAAGAAGTAAATAATAGAAAGATTGTACAAATGAAGAACTTTAGAATTATTTAGTAATAATGCCAGCCCTGCATATATTTTTGTCTTGTGTCTATGTATTTAAATTAGTTGTAACCATAGAAAAATATGTTTACATACAGAGTAATCAGCTGTTTGCAATGCATGTTTTACCTTTGGTGCAGGTTGATTTTTGTTTGAGGACATGCAGAAAGAGCCAGCCTGACCCTAGTTAACTCAGGTTGTTCTTTCATGATTTTCACATGAGGATGGAAATCAGCACCTATATTAAGGGTAGAAGGAGGAAAAAAGATCTCATAACTATTAGTATGCTTTTGGTGACGGCGGTGTTCTCTTGTTGTTGGCTAAAGCTTAGATATCATGAACAATGTTTGTCATCAGTGATGTGACTAAAAACTCATACTGAACAGAAGCTTCTTAAAGGCCGACTTTATTTTGGAAAAGTCTTCAAACCATATTATTAAATTTGCAATATGTATTTAAGTCTTAAACTGAATGTGACTAGAAACACAAAGTTGTGAAGGTGTAAAACTATGAAAATTAAAATTAAGTATAGAAAAGTATACAAAAATTTCAAGCAAACTTTGATGAAAGGATATTTTACAACTTACATACTTAAACTTGATGTCTAACTTCTTTCTTAAATATTTAGAATTTGCATGTGTTTATTTAAAGAAAACAGAGATTTTTGAATTCTGCGTGCATAACACTTTTTCAGAATATCCAAGTTTTAATTTTATTCATAGAGTTGTTTCTCCTTTGAAATGTTGCAATTTTAGAATAAAAGTTTTTGGAGTCAGTGATCCTTTTGAAGGTGATAATTTTTAGGATTAAAATGTCTAAGATAGCTAGGAGCACTTGGGAGGCAGAGGCAGGCCTATCTCTGTGAGACTGAAATCAGCCTTATCTACATAGTGAATTCCAGGCTACTTGGGGCTACAGGGAGACCATGTCTTCAAAACAAAACAAAACAAAATTCTAAGACACAGAGAAATTGTGGAATGCAGTTTGATGAACTGGTAGAGTCATACTAACTCACAGGCATTGCTGACTCTTGGTTCTATCTGCCCCATTCATTTCATTATCTATGTATTTTGAGTTGGATGTAATAGGCAGAGTTATGTGTTTTAAATCCACGGTCCAACTTCGGATGATCACATTTTACCTACAAACTTCATGATGCTCAATAGAACATGTGATCTTATTTTCTATTTCTAAGTAAACGATATTATTGTTTGCCTTCTGCTGTCAATCTTTTAATTTTTGTAAGAATTTTGATGAAAAGTGCACCAAAGAAGAGTTTTCACTTTATGACATATATTAAAGATGATTTTTGAGTAGACACAGATTATACCTGAATCATAAGGTGGCTGGGAGAAAGTGATATTAGGTATAGTTGTCTCCAGGTCTCACAGAATCCTTCTTGAGGGTTAGCCATGACAATGTGGAGATGCAGAGATGGTCCCACAAGCTAACTGAGTTTTATTTCCACAGTTAAAGACACAGACACTAGTGGTCTATAAATGAATTTGTTGAAAATCTGGCTATTTCTATTAAACTTTATCACCGTATGGGCGTACAATACAACATATAGAATATAAAAGAAAGTAAAACTTGTGAATATTTTTCTGATGTAAAGAAATTCTTCCATTGTTAATTTTTACTGCTCTGGTTTTCCTTTCCGACTTGAAATCTTTTAGTATCAAGTTTGCTTTATTTAATATTCCCTGACTAAAATTCTACTCTCATAAAACTAGGTCTGGTTTCAAAATCGAAGGGCCAAGTGGAGAAAAAGAGAGCGTTATGGCCAAATACAGCAAGCTAAAAGCCATTTTGCTGCAACTTATGACATATCAGTTTTACCAAGAACTGACAGCTATCCACAGGTAGGTCAATGACACAAAATATTGGCCAATGACAGTAGGTGTGATTTGCACATGCTTCAGAGGATGAACTTAAGCTTTCTTATACCTAGTACAATAACCAAGAATGAAAATTTAACATCCAGACAACTTTTCTCCATGTTTAACAAATTTGAAATTACTAAGTGAATTATTTTATAATTACTTTCTTTCAGAGTCATTCACTTAATGCTGTCTTCCTTTTGGATTTCGTTATATATTGCAGCAAATGAAACAGCATTTAATATATACTGTAATTTCCCTGCATTTTAATTATTTACATGGGTTTTCTTCCTTCACTTTAAAAATAAAATGCATATCATAAAATCTCTGTGGATATTATTTTTGTACACTGTGCAAAATGCTGGTGTCAAAATGCTGGTGACCTGTAAAGTCCTTGATTCTCTTTAATAACCTGATTTTTTTTACCAAGGTATTTTTTTCAGATTTGATGTTATTTATTTTAAGGGCACATTTAATCATGCAAAAGAAATAAACTGTTTCATAATGAATGCTCTCTAACCTCATCTCAAAAAAGTATTCATATTTTTCATCTTCTGAATTTTTTTTACAAAAATCTATTGTTTTCTTTCTTTTTCACAGCTTGTAATATGTGTGTATGTGCTTCATCTTTTTAATGTCTTTCATATTATAGTTTCTTAATACAGAATCTGATATGCAGAACTGCATTGCGGATGCTTGATATGTAACATGTGAATTATAAGGAGAAGCTATGCATTGTTTCATTCTTTATTACTTGATGATATATGCCTTCTAAGATACTGCTGTAGATGCATATGTGAAACATATATTCTGGACAAATACTTGATGGTTCAGTAAGAATAGCATTTCAGTTCCATCTGTGAATTCATACCTACATGTGGATTCTGTGCATTACTGATATGCTTTCTTTATAGATTTTTGTCTTTAACATTTTCTTTAAAATATTTTTTGGGAACTTATGTCTTGCATAAAATTCATTTAAATTACAAATAGAATTTTATATAGTAAAGCGAGCTTTGGATAGCATCTTGTTCAACTCCCTTATTTTAAAAATCAGGAAAAACAGATTCCTTCTAGGGCATTCTATAACAAATACTATAGTCAAGCCTTACCCCAGCAAGTTCAGGAGGGGCCAGTATTTTGGAAATGACTTGAATCAACGTTCCATACCTGTCATCAGTATGTCATAAGTATCTCTTAAAATTTATCTTAAAGTGGTTACCATACTTTCACCTAATTAAAAACATAGCTATCTTCTGCTTACTTACTTGCTATCACAGAGAGAGTGAAATTGTGTTCACCTCATGCCTCTGCGTGTCTTAGTTGAATTCTAAACAAAATGGTATGAAGATATTTTTTCCTCTCTGGTCTGCAAGCTTCCTGGGGAGAGGAACTGCTGTGCCTTTTAGTTCTTAACCCTACCATGACCCTTACTAAATGCCTAGGCACTGTCCTAAGCATGTCACATATATTGACTTATTTAATCAACACAACAATCTTATGTGATGGGTGTTAATTATCTCCATTTCTCAGATGAAGAATATGAGGCACAGAAAGAGGAGGTTTTCATTTACTTTCATTAATGAGGAAGCCCAGATTTGACCAGAGTCGAATTTGGCTCAGTTGATAAAAGTCTTAATCTACATACATAGGCTGTCTTTCCTGGTGAATACATTTAAGTGTTTGACTGATGGTAGCAAATTAATCCTGAAAGAGTCTATGTTTTGAGTTTCATTATTGGAAACTGCAGTTTACTTCAGAGGGTCAGAGAATATCCCTAATCCAGTAAAATAACAATAAAAAATTGAAACACTGTACAATTTACACTAGTTAGGGGCTATTAACTCTTGGTTTTAGAAGAGAAAAATAACAAATTATGTATTGTTTCCAAGTGAAATTTAAACTGTTTTACTTAGTAAGTTTATTAAACAAGAGTTTACTTGATTTCTTGTTCTGATCTGAATCCTCTTTCTTTCTTCATCTCTTTATTTTTGGATCCTGTTCCTTTCTGTATTTTCTACTTCTGTGTTCTTGGGTTTGTTACTTTATCTTTGGCTCTTTCTTTGTGTTTTATAAAAAAAACAATTAGAATAGGGTCTGGTAACAACTAAAACCATTGTAAGAGACTGAAAGACCAATCATCTCTTTTCCTGGGGTTATTTTCGGCAGAGGCAGAGGCAGGCTGATCTCTGTGAGACGGAAGCCAACCTGATTTACTCACATAAGGAGTTCTAGGTCACCTTGGGTTAGACAGTGACTCTGCCTCAAAAAACAAACAAAACCCCAATAAAACAAAACAAAAATTTCCTTTCATAAATAATGGGAATTTTGTATTTATTTTCCTGAAGCTTCTGTAACATCTGAGTGACTGAAATATACTAAAGAATGAGAATACACAGAAACTATATATGAATTGCTACAAAAATAAATACTGTAAAAACCTCTCATGTTCTTCTATATTGGTAAACCATTTAATGTTTTCCTTGTTTGTTTGTTGTAGTCAGAAATTCTGAAATTAAGTTTATCCAGCACCTCATAGTAAATACTGGAGAAAGCCAGAGGAAAATTCTCTTTTAACTTAAAAACATGGGGTAGACATTTTTTGTTTCTTTGAAAAAAAAATAATTATGTCAAGATCAGGTCCCCTAAGCTTCAGCCTAGAGAAAATGTTTTTTATCATGTAGATTGAAAATAGAAATGTATAATGGGAGAAATAGGAACTGAAATAGAATCCAAAAATTAAGTGCAATAAGATGCTGAATTTGGTTACTGTTACTAATTACAGAAAAAAATATTAACTACAGAAAAGTTGGAGAACTGGAAAATGTTGGAGGCAGGGCAGAAATAAAGAATTAACAATTTGGCAGGAAAGCAAAAACATACACAGAAATTACACACAAAAAAGAGATGGTTTAGAAAATGCTCTCCTGAAGCCAGCAGAGTATGGATAATTGCTGTACCTAGCATAAAGGTGTCTACATATAACAAAATATTTTAAAATAGTAATTAATGCTTATGACATGCTTTACAGACTTTGTTTCAGCTGTTTTTCATTACTTTAGAAAACAGCTTCACTCTGGTAACACCAGTAAAACTGATAATAAACAACCCAGGGATTATTTGAAGTCAGACAGCCATTACCGTATTTCCTATTACAGTCACAAACACATTTAAATCCACAGTTTTTGGTGTTAGGCATCAAGGGCTCTTTCTGCAATATTATCTCCTAAACTCATAACTTAATAAAATAGTTCAATATTGACATAAAAACATGACTTAATTTTGTAAAGCCAAATATGTTTCCCTTTTTTTTTTTTTTTTTTTTTTTTTTTTTTTTTTACTCCCTGTAGCCCCAGCTGTCCTGAACTCACTATGTAGACCAGGCTGGCCTTGAACTCACAGAGATCTGCCTGCCTCTGCCTACCAAATGCTGGGATTAAAGGCGTCTGCCACCACGCCTGGCAAGGTAACACTTTTATGTGCTGGAAACAATACTTTAAAAATATCTCCTGAACAACTCATGGTGGCTCATACCTGTAATCATAGCATTCAGGAGACATAGGAAGGAGAAACAGTGTAAGGTCATCCTTAGCTATGAATTTCAGATCAGCCTGGGCTACATGAAACCATATCCCCAAAAGCAAAGAAAGAAACAGAAACATAAGAACAGTACAATACAAAACAAAACAAAGCAAACCCCCCAAAACATTAAAGCAGAGTATGGTGGCCCACGTCTTTAATTCCAGCACTAGGGGGGCAGAGGCAGGTGGATCTTTGTGAGTTTGAGGCCAGCCTGGTCTACATAGGGAATTCCAAGTCAGCCAAACCTACACAGTGAGACCCTGTCTCAAAAATATAAAAGAAAAAATTCTTTATTGGACTGAGTTGGAGAGCTGAATCATCAGTTAAGATTACATAATGCTCTTGCAGAGGCATGAGTTCTCAGTACCCACTTTGCTGCCTCACAACCACCTGGTATCATGGGTACCATGGATTAGAAGAGGGTGTCAGATCCCCTGGATCTGGAGTTACAGATGACCATATGTGCAGGGGACCCAACTAAGGAGCCTCTGGAACAGCAAATGCTTTTAACCTCAGAGCTAGCTCTCCAGACCCCCAAAATAAAATAAATCTTTTAAAATGTCCTTTATTTTGGCCTAGGATGTTGTTTGCTATTTGGCAACACTGTGATTAAGCAAAGTTTAACTATTTGGTTTTATTTTCTTGTTTGTTTGTTCTTTGAGACATGGTCTCACTGTGCAGCCCTGGATGGCTTAAAACTGGTTATGTAGAGAAGGTTGGACTCCATCCAACAGAGATTCACCTGCCTCCGCCTCTGCAGTGCTGGAATTAAAGACATACACCACCAGGGCCCAGCAAAACACAGATTTAAAAACATATTTTATTTTTTATTTCTATTTTATGTGTATGAGTGTATTGCCTGCATGTAGGTAAGTGCAAGATAAATTTTTAAAATTTTTATTATTTTTATTTTATGTGTATGAGTGTTATGCCTGCATGTAGGTAAGTGCACCTGTGTAGTGCAATGCCTGCAAGGACAGAAGAGACTGTTGGATCCCCTGAAACTGGAGTTAAGGATAGTTGTTAGCTGCCATATGGGTATTGGGATTCGAACCCAAGTCTTCTGCAAGAACAGCCAGTATTCTTAACCAGTGAGCCATCTCTCCAGTCCCTGTTTTTATTTTTTTAATGTATATGATTGTATTTCCTGCATGTATGTACACCTGTGTCCTGAAGTGCTTGTGGAGGTCAGAAGAGGGCATCAGGTCCCCTGGGACTGGAGTTATGGATGGTTGTTAGCTACAGTGTGGGTACTGCAGATTGAGCCTGGGTCCTCTGCATGAGCAGTCAGTGTTTTTAACTGTTGAGCCATCTCTCCAGCCCAAAGCATTTTTCAATAAGATTCTAATTCCTTGTGTGGAATCTGTTTCTGTATCTGAATTTCCTTGCCCTCGCTAATG